AAGTATATAGATGAGTCGCTTCCAGTATGGCTGTCCGAGGTTGACCCGGGGAGCAGGGCAGCATGTACTAGAGGATCGCCAAGCATGAGAGGCTCAGTCTGGCGCTTTTCCATGTACGACTCCTTTGTTGCTCCAGCACTCTCACCGTACTTGTCCCACTGGAAATTCTCATGAAGAACCACCTGAAACATGCCCCCATCAGGGCCTGACACGATTCTTGTTCGCAGGATGGGACAGGCCTGGACAACTGCTTCCCATGATTGACGAACACGAGCAGGATTGACATGCGGCTGCAGTCGATGGACGAAGCGAGCTATATATGCCCCGGGCTTTGCAGCAGATAGAGCCATCATTCCTTCTTGAAGAGGTGTGCAGGGATAGATGTCTTCAATCTGGTCTTCCTCCACTCGGCATTGCTCTTTTGCGGCGGCAATGAGAATAGGCTTGGAATAGGCGTCGACCAATGCAAACGGCTCAAGCTGGTAAAGTTCCACAGACGGGGTCTGGTCTAGCTCGGCCGCAATTCTGGACATTTCACTGAGTTGCGATGATCTAAAGACGTGTCTGACTGTGAGCTCAATGCCAGCCTTGCGGGCCCGGCTGACCAATTTCATCGCCTTCACAGAGTCGCCGCCAAGAGCAAAGAAATCATGCTCCATCCCGACCTGGTCTCCATTGAGACGAAGCACGTCGACAACCAACCCATGTATGAGATATTCATGCGCTGTTTTTGGTGGATTAGTAACGACTGACGGCCTTGCTGTGCCCGTCAGTCGCAGCAGTGCTTCATATCGCAAACGTTGAGCTTCCTGTCGTAATCGAAGACGATCGATTTTTCCCGTCACAGTCAGAGGCATGGATCGTATCAGCAGGAAGATGCGTGGAATCATCACATCGGGCAGTCTCTGCTCTAGATACTCGATGACCTGATGTACAGAGGCGACAAAGTCTTCGTTCGGGTCCATAAAGAAGGCATCGCCATTATGAACAGCACCGTTCGTGGAGGATCCTACAGCTGAGGGCGCGGGCACAAAAGCCATAAGACTAGCCACCCCGTCACCATCGGCCGGCACAATGGCATCAATAACAGCCTGACGAAAAAGCGGCGATGCTTTTGCGATATAGAACTCGGGCTCTCCCAGGTCAATTCGCTGTCCCCGGACCTTGACCTGGCGATCCTTTCGACTGACATATCGCAGTAGGCCGTTCGAATCGTAAAAGGCCAAATCACCTGTCTTGTACCACCTGCTTGAATTGTCCTGGACATTGTCCTTTCCATCCAGCGTAGCTAGGATTCCCTGCTTTCGCCAGGTTGGAGCTTGCAAGAAACTTGCAGCAGATTTCTCCGGGCTGTGAAGGTATCCTTGAGCCAGACTGGGACCTTCAACGACTATTTCGCCAACCGCTCCAAGTGGAGCCAAGTTTTCTGGCTCTCCAGGTTTAATCAGCCAGCAACGGGCATTTGCCGGGCTTCCGATGAGGCCGATATCTGCAATTGTGTGGATCTGAGGTGACACACAGCAGATGCCGGCCCATTCTGTGAACCCATATGCTTGGAAGAGTCTTGTGCGACTAGCCCATACTGAGATTTGAGCCTTCTTCAATGCCTCTCCTGCCACTAAAATGCGACGGAGGCCGGGGACCATGTCCGGATGTAGGGTTGACAACACAGTGGGGGTAACAAAGGCCCAGTTGATCCCCATTGTCTGGATGGCATCGCCCAAGCGACTGACACGATCGGAATCAGAAGGCATACAGACGGTCCCCCCTGCGGAGAGAGCGCACCAGATCTCAATTAGTGACACTCCAAAGCTGAATGAAGCAAATTGCAAGACTCGGGCGGTAGAATCGAGATGCAGCGCATTGCAATGGGTTGAGACGCTGGCGAGAGCAGCATGGTCGACCAAACATCCCTTGGGTTCACCTGTACTGCCCGAAGTAAAGAAGCAATAGGCCGGAGCGGTCGCCTCAACGGGCCAGTCGTGGGCATTATGAGTTACTGTCTTTATCGGGAGATGCGACAGAATATCGTTAGACACTGCCAGAGTAGGGGTAATCAATTCGCCCAGGAGAGCTTGGTTATCGGGCGAGGCTAGCCCTAGAGGGGGATTTTCCAGTTGCTTGATAATTGACCGCAGGCGACTGGGCGGTTGGGATGCATCCAGAGTGACAAAAGCAGCGCCGGCCTTGTTGATCGCAAGCATGGCGACAACAGCCCACAAAGTCTTGCTAAAGCATACTGGAATTAACATGCCTGATTGCACCCCTTTTTCTTGGAGATGCCTTGCTAGGCGCGAGGACAGGTTGTCTAGTTGGCCGTAGGTGAGTTCTCCATCAGATGCGACAAGCGCAGGGTGGCCTGGATTCGCCATGGCGACATCACGGATAATTTGGTGGATGGCCGCATCAGAGGGCTGAACAGGTGCTGCTCTGTTCCACTTTCTGATCAGGCCCTGCTGAGTAGGGACGGTCACCGAGAGTTGTAGTGGGCTGACCGTCCTGTCTGAGTCCTCCAGTCTCATCACAGTCCTCGCAGCTTCTCCCAAGAAGGATGCGAGATGCCCCGCTTGCCCGCTGGACAGAACAGCAGTCTTATACAGCAAATACCACTGGGACTGTGTCGTATCAATGACAAGGATAACGTCACACGTCTGGATCAAGGGAAGTTGAAAGTCAGCCATTCCGTGTTAATGGGGGTAGGGAGCCTTGACTGGATATACCTCTTCGTCATTTTCTGCCGTCAGGACATCCGACTCTGGTGTGTCGGGTCTGCTGCTGCCGTGATGCAATACAATTCCGGTGTTGAAGTAAGGGAAATGGTCCGGGGTCCCCTTGGAAAGTGACCATCCCTTCCCGCTGGACAGCTGGTAGAGTGTGGTGTTTTGACTTCTCGAGGCTGCCAGCAACTTCATATGCTTCTTCCTCCCTCGTTCGTCTGTGGGAGATGATATTTCCTGTATTCCAACCTGCGCCGTGTCCACCTCGGCATATTCCCAAAGAAGCAGGGCCCAGATTGTCGCTATGTAGAAGAGAGGATCCCTCTGTTTCGAGGTCGGGACGTTATTCAAACAGCACGGGGAGCAGGGAGACGAATAAAAGATCCCTGCCTGTTTGAGCGCACAGGAGCACAGGCTTGTGACGGCCCATGGTTTCGTTGCTGTGTCTCCAGGCAGGTTTCCGTCGTTGCGGACGGGGAAAAGGCATTTCTCTGCTGGGGGAAGACTTCCGTCCTCGTGCTGGATGATTGCCATAGTGATATGGCTATGTCTTGTTGCCAAAATGATCTCAAACGGAAATATTTACTGTGCAAGGGAAAATGGATTGGATTGATTTGACCAAGGTGATCTTCCGAATGGCAGCAGACACATTCGTTATCTACTTTGGACGTTCTTTACTTAATTGTTCGGTGTCATCATCATTATCACCCTCGTCATCCTCAATTCAGCAGTACAGCTCAGCCTGTCCACACTAGTCAGTCAGCTGCGCCTGATTTATCCCAGCACGGCGATGTTTTTGTGGATCATGTTCTTTTGAACAACAGATTCATTCAGCCACAGAATTTGCCATTTCTTTGAAAATCTCGATGGCTCGTCGTGCTTCTTGTCAGTACCTGCAGGTTTTTTTCAATGTTGGGTGTCACAGCGATGAGCTAATCTTTCAAGCCAGTGACTAACTCAGCCTAAGAATTGGGTGTAACATGCCAATACTTTTGCTCCATAGCTACTTGCAGTGCTCCAGTTTTAATTGGTATTGGAAACGTGAGTTCCATTACGACAGTAATCGTTGATCGTCTGATGACCGGGGAATCTGAAGTGTTTCCAGGCAAAGGCACCATCTATATCACTGTCACATATTTTTGGGGTCCACCATTGATGATTTAGGAATCAGGACAGGTATGTGCATTAGTAAGGGTCTAGTAAGTACGCGAAGAACCAGGATTCTGGATGCAGGAAGACAATTTAGCCAATGATAATCTCCGGAAATGCAGACCCCGGAAGGTCTTTGGTTTCTGGCCCAAAAGCTTTACCTAATACATTAATATAGGCCCGCCCGGAGGAGGACAGACAGGTCTTGCGTCAAAACCTGCAAAGGACTTGTGGCGCCTGCACGGAGCAAATAGTAATGACATTAGCGCGCTCCGAACGCAGCCCTGTCACGGTGATCCATTCGCATTGTCGATCTCGGTCGATCCGATTGCCTGCCAAGATACGTACTTACTAGTGAGTACTAAGTAGGACGGATCTTCGACCTGCATAATACAACATCAGACTCATAGAATCCACCAAATTTAAGACACTAATGCTGCGGATGGAATGGGTCTCTCACTGTGCGGACAGCTCAGCCAGCCACTCAGTCCAGTTAAGGATACCCCTAACTAGTGCTTCAGTTGAACTCTCAATCCAACAACTGTCCAAGATTTTGAGTCCGTGGGGTGCCGAGGTTGATCAGCAAAGTGACGTCCTTGTAAATGTGCTAGCGGGACGTATCTATGAGTGGTCGCAGCAACATCCTAATGCAGGCATGCGATCAGCTGAGATTTTCGACAATAGGTGAAGCTGTAAGAGTTGCATTGCATCACATTGCGTGCTTCAGCCGTGACAACTCTTCGAACGAAAATAGGCAGGTACTCGAGTCTGGATTAGGAAGGAACTAATGAGTTGGCATTACATTGCATTGCATTGCATGTTACAGGCGCCCGTCCACAAAATCAGTCTACCGAGCAGGAGGCGATGGTGGAGGGACCGCAACTCCTTTGCCTCAAAGATGAGGTTTGATCTGCAGTGACGGATCGAACGAGGTAAGCAAATGCTCAGGACTAGATTAGGGAGGAACGCACTGAGGTTCTTGAAACAATCAAGTGAAGTAGTCGCAGGATGCCGGCCTAGTTCTGATTGTGTTCGAGTAGATTCTAATCCCTAATATTGACTGTGTATCCCATACTATTCCTCTAGACGGTTATGCTTCGCATTTGACTTGCTATACACATCAATTCTGTAAACATGTTTGAGCCCCATCCACTAAAAAGCCACTTCGATAAGACGGCAGCAGATGTCTCAACTACCGTCACTGAGATCCCTCTGGAGGATAGAGCTCCTGAGCAGTTCATACCTCGGAACACCTGGATCAACGCAACATCGCATCCTGTTGAGCGCACAGTTGATGAGATCTTTCTATCCCATGTTCTAGAGCGGCCCGATGCTCTAGCTGTCTGTGCCTGTGATGGCACTTACACTTATAGAGAGCTGGACAGGCTCTCGACTGCTTTGGCGCATGAGCTGCGTCGTCAAGGCGTGACCACTGAAGTCTTGGTGGCCCTTCTGTTTGAAAAGTCCAAGTACATTGTCGTTGCCATACATGCAGTGCTCAAAGCCGGGGGTGCAATCATGTTGTGGGATCCAACTCTGCCCGTGGACCGCTTACGTAGCATCTTTGCTGAGTCCACGGCCCAGATGGTGCTGTCATCAACCACCACTGCTGGTCTGGCAGCCAAGATCAGCTCTCACATAGTCGTTGTGGATGAGGAGCACATACCCGAGCCTTCTTCCGAGCCTCTGGTATCCGTCCACCGGCCCAACAGCGCACTATACAGCGTCTTCACATCCGGCTCGACCGGGAAACCCAAGGGCTTCATCATGGAACATCGTGCCCTGGTAACATGCGCCGTGGCCTGTGGCCAGCAATTGGGAATGACCAAGGAATCCCGAACTCTACAGTTCTCGTCCAACTCCTTCGACCTGGCAACCTTTGAGCACCTACTTCCCTTCGTATTTGGGGCATGTATCTGCATTCCCTCCGAGGAGGAGAGAAAGGGCGACCTGACCCGCGCCCTTGACCAGTATCAAGTGTCGTTGGCCATGATGACGCCCTCAGTGAGCCGCCTGCTGGAGCCACAGCATCTTCCGCTGCTGCAAACAGTGATGCTGTGTGGCGAGCCCGTATCTTCGGAGGATGTGCGCCGCTGGTTCTCCCATGTCCATCTGCACAATGGTTACAGCCCTGCCGAGGCTGGGTGTATCAACATCCTCAACTCAGCCATGACAGAGGCGCACCCAAACAACATTGGATATTCAACCGGGGTTATTCCATGGGTGGTGGACCCGGAGAATCACGATCGACTGCTACCGCTCGGGGAGGTTGGAGAATTGATTATCCAGGGACACACCGTCGGACGAGGATACTTTGGCTGTCCGGCGAGGAATAAGGCCTCTTTTATTGATGCGCCCGCCTGGGTCCGTGGTTTCGGTCGGGAATCTTATGGATCCTTCTATAAGACCGGCGATCTCGTACACTACGATACCAATAACGGATCCATGCAATTCCTGGGCCGTAAGGACACGCAGGTGAAGTTGCATGGACAGCGACTGGAGCTGGGAGAAGTTGAGGACCAGCTGCGACGCCATTTTGCTCCACCGCACGCTGTCATCGTGGACCTTGTGACGGCTCTGAATCGTGAGCCCAACCTTATTGCATTCGTGAGCCGTTCGCAAGACATGACCGTCATCGGAAATGACTCCGTCCAGGACGACCTCTTTCTAGTACCGGACGAGCAATTTGCTCAGGCCGCACGAAACGCACAAGCTTCTCTCCGGACTGTTCTCCCCTCGTATATGGTCCCATCCGAGTTCCTCCTCCTCTCCCACCTCGTCATGTTGCCGTCCGGAAAGACAGACCGCCGATACATTCGCACGGCTGCCGCTGAGCTTTCACCGACTGAGAGGAGAAAGTTTAGTAGCATGCTCGAGACCTCTCAAGACCAGCCATCGACGGAACTCGAGGAAGTCCTGCTGACACTGTGGGCAGCAAGCCTGAAAATCGCGGTTGCAGGGATTGGTGTACAGGATAATTTCTTCGACCTCGGGGGTAGCTCTCTGGATGCCCTCCGCCTTGCGGCCAGTATGCGTAAGATAGGTTATACAGACCTGCCCTCTGGCGCGGTATTCAAATACCCCACCGTGCGCTCCATTGCAGCCGTTCTGCAGGGTACTATTCAGCAAGCATCGATCACCTCACAGACACCAGAGTCTGAACAGATGGGGCCATCCCTCACGGCTCAGCTTCTGTCCAAAGCTCGGATACAGATGGATGAGGTCGAATACCCAGGCTTCCTACCAATGACAGCCTTCCAGCAGAAGTCTGCCGGTCTGAAGTGTGTTCATATCGTTCTGGATATTTCCGGCCTCGATCACTCCCGACTAGACGCTGCATGGGGCCTGGTTCAGGAGAGACACATCTGCCTTCGGTCGGTCTATATCTCTCATCTCGGCCACGTTTATCAAGGCTTTCTGCGCCGTCCTCACAGCACGATTCCCATTCAGCAATGTGACCAGCCGGCTCAAGAGTTTGCAACCGACTTCTGCAACAAGGATGCTGAGCCGGTCCTTGACGGCCGTTGCTGGTGGCAGTTGACGCGGATCAATAGCAATCACGATGGTAGCAGTGCACTCGTTATCCGGACCACCCACGCGCAATTTGATGCCATGACTCTCGGCGTCATTTTCAACGACTTTATGGCTGCCATGGAGAACCGCGCGCTGTCTGCACAGGAGCGGCAGTTCTCCGACTACATGATCCGTCGTGTGCAACACAACAAGTCACAGGCAACAGTGGAGTTCTGGTCAAAGTTCCTGCAAGGTTCCCACATGAGCCAGCCCGAGTTCACTGATGCCTCGTCGGCTGCCCTTCCCGACGATCATATCGGCATGGTGTACGTCATGAGACCAATCCAGGCAACTTCAACTCCTCCAACCGGCATCACCATGGCGTCTGCGTTCCGCGCTGCTTGGGCCTTTGTTCTTGCCAACTATACTGGTCAGGGTGATCTCGTATTCGGCGAGTTTATCGAAGGCCGCACCCTTCCCTTGCTGGAGGACGTGGAGAACATCACCGGTTGCACCGCGGCAGAGACTCCCATGCGGATAATAATTCCTGAGCACGAAGGAGCGACCGTACAGGACCTCCTGCATCACTCCCAGGAGCAATATATTACTCGGCTTCCATTCGAGACCTCTGAGCTGCCTGATCTTGTTCCCCACTGCGTTCCTTTGTGGCCCAAGCACACAACCCAATTCAGTCACCTACTCGTGGTTGAGAACACTTCAGCTGTGCCCCCTGTGGTGGTGGATGGCCATGTGTTTGAGCATCGATGGGTTTTTCACGGCCGTCTGGAAGACGTACAGATCCAATTGGTTCCGACGAAGGATTCGTTGCATGTCGCTATCCTGGGGCCGGAGGTACGACTGGCTTACGGCATTGCGGATATGCTGGTGGGTAGGCTGGCATCGGCTCTAACCCAGTTTATCGAGAAACCCAATGCGTTGCTGTCAGAGATCAAGTGGGATTAGAGAAAGACGGGTCGGTTAAATATGAGCTTGTCCGGATTACTCTGCTGAGAGTAGACAATATATTTATTGTTCTATCAAGAAACACGCAATCAATCCCAGCTGGTAAAATATATATACATACATGTTATTTAGCATATACAGAGGAAGTCCATGCTTTTCTGAAGAGTTAAATCAGTCACGATTTAAAGATTTATCCTGTTCATTAGATACCTAAAATAACTGTTGAAATCTACCCTGCCCTTTACAAAGTAGCCACAATTGAAATATATACTTTGATGCAAACTTACTGTTCAACTAGACACCTACATTTCTCCTCAACATGCCCAGCGAGGATAAAAGTATTCGAGGGAGCATCTTCATCCAATAACCCTGATACTATGGATTTAATACATGGATAGCTAGTAGTATTGAAAAACTCAAGAAATTTATTAGAGTCCAACCCAAATTCATCGCAATGTCAAGGTTGAAAAACTATTCACTGGCTATTCAGAAACTCCCGTGGCCAGCCTATAATCATCCTCTGCATGGAATTTGCCATCCACTGGAACGTTCGTTGGGATGTACTCAGTGCCGTTCCTCACTGCTTCCACCACACGATCAAATTCTTCATGGGTATGGCTGACACAATCATAGCAGTGGATCCAGGCTGGACGTGCGATCGCGTTGAAGCGATCACTGGATGCGTTTTGGTCTAGATCGGCCTCGAGGCTGACTTCTTGAGCCTCGATAGAGCCTTGCTGGATGACCGAGACCCGTTTATGTCTGCCGATGTTGGTCAGCAGGGCGGTTTCACGTTTGGTCAGAGTATTATTTACCTCAACTTTTCCATAGCCCGCAGAGCGAGTGGGACGCCATCGCCCTCACTTTCTCCCTTTGCCAGGGACGATAGCCGAAGACAGATGGCAACCACGGCTGCATCTTCGATGGACTGATTGGCGCCCTGTCCGGTATGCGGCAGAAACGGGTGAGCTGCATCTCCGATGAGAATCATTCGGCCCTGCTGAGACACCCATGTGCCCAATGGCTTTCGAGTAACGAGGGCATGGTTGAAACATTTCCCTTGAGGTGTCTTGGAGATCACTGCACTCAGCTTTCTCGCTATCGGCCAATCCTGAATGTATGCAAGAACAGGGTCCACAGAGGCTGCTTGCACCCAGTTCTCAGTGGCCTTGCTCGCATCCTAGGCAAGTGTTATATTGTGGGTTTCTGCATATGAAACGGGATACACACCCGATGAGGACAGTTCCACCAGACATACTTCCCCTTGCCGATCGTTCCGACGAGAACTGTGACGTCCCGACCAAAGTAGATTTCATGACGATCATGCTCCGAAGTGCCCTCCAGCACCCAACGTGCATCGGGGTCGTTGGCTACCTCACTGGCATCGAAGTTGGATCGGAAGATTGCTCCTCCCGTCTGCAAGAGAGCCGCGGCATCTTCAAGGGGCTCTTCACCCGTGATGATGGCCCTAGCTTTGCTATACAAGCCGTCTGCCGCAATGATGCAGTGCCCAGTAATCTTTTCCTTACCATTGATACTCACACCGGCTGCGGTCTCTGTTTCCCAGTACTCATCTACGGTCACTCCGAATCTCAGATCCAGACCCAAATCGACTGTGGCATGCCGATACATTTCATTTACTAAATCGGACCGACGCAGAAACAGTCCTTGGGCCGGATCATCGGCGCCGAAAGGTATGACATGCTTGCATTCACCCGCGTCGCTGTACACTTCGACCGAGCTTAGTTCGCTGCCAACAGCCGCAAGACGGGAGACGATTGAGTCCTCTGTGGGCGACCAGCGCGAGAGGACATTGAGCCCGTTTCCACTGAGGCCAATTATGTCGCCTACGCCCAGATTTGGTAGTGTAAGCTTCGTGCTGTCAGAGGCAGCTTGTAAGAATGAGAGTCATGCCTAATTGATGCGCATCGCGCTTCCTTTCCAGTCCAATCACCGTATGGCCCTGCCGATGGCATTCAATGGCGGCGCTGAGTCCGGCAATCCCCAGACCCACAATTATCACTGTGATACCAGTGGGTGCGTCTCGAGTCATGGTCAAAGATGTCCGATATTGCGTGCGAGAGAATCGATTTGGCGTGGCTGGATATTCAATGATACACGAAAGGAGGGAGGGATGAGGGACAGTAAAGATGAGAGTGAGGGAAGAATATTATGACATAATAAAAAAGAATAAAATTATATAAGGATTAGTTAAATCTGATCCCTGATACTCGACGACCCCACCAGATGACATGATCAGCAGCCATTAACTAGGATTTACGTTGTACTTTTTGTGCCATTTGGGCTGGCTGATCGGAGACTAGGTTCAATAGTTTAGCATGAGACAAAGCAATATTGCGGTACAAAATTGAGGTGTCCAAATTCTGGTATTGTCCCGTCGATATGTCACAAGTAATATCCATGACTGCATTAGATTATAGCAATCAAACTATGAAGTCATCGAGGGGACTGTAATCCAAGTAGATCTCGTTCAGTGCTACCCGAGGCAGTCATAGCTGAGACATGCATATGCAAGGGTACTCCGCCGCCGTTCCAATGCAACGTTGGCTGATGCTATTTGCAAGCTTATGCACACGCACAGTGAGTGCAGGCGAGCCAGGATATTCTACTTTTCCAATCTCGTATGAGAGTGGGACTTGGTCTGCTGAAGATGGCTGAGCTGAACCGAGGCAGTTTGATCCTGCAAACATGCAGCTGACCCTCAACAGCCAGGCGGGGGGAGTAATCGAAGGAGATGGTAATGGTACTAATGTCAGATCGTATGGAATTTATGCAACTAGCTACGCTTCCACATTGTATGTGTTTTCCACCCGATACACTCCATCAACGGGAATGTTTGATGGGATATATTCGCTGCCCGTCTGGATTGCCTGAACCACAGTCTCAAACACTAGATGGGTATACTCCTGGCAGTCATGGTTAAAGACCCAATCTGGATTTGGGAAGCGGAACAGATCCGGATCTTTGGCCACCGTCTCCCAGTCTGGCCGTAAAAGCGCCTCTTGAAGAGCCGAACTGCCCAGCTGAATCACACTGGCCCGCGGGTACCTGATCTTTTCGGCCGCTCGTAAACCCAGAGGAACCTGGTCTTTTCCAGCTAGGGCAAGAGTCACGGCAATGACTGCCCCATCCTCCATTCCTTGACTGCCTCCCTGTCCAACGACTGGGAAATAGGGATGCGCCGCATCGCCAATGAGAATCGCTCGACCACCGGGGGAAATCCATGTCTTCAGCGGGGGCCGATAGACCAACGGATGGTTCACCAGTTTGCTGGGTTGGGTATGTCTGATCACTGCTTGAATTCTCTCCTTTCCGGGCCAGTGATCAATGGCTGCCATTGCATCCGCCAATTTGGCGTGCCCACCTCCTCCACTCCAGGTCTCCTCGGCCCCATAGCAGTCCCAGTGTGTGGTCATCCAGACCAAGTCCTTGCCCCGTCCCATGGTCAGCATGGCCATGTTGACTCCCTCACCAAACCATGCGTACGCTTGGTCCTGCTCGCTGGTCCCCTTTAGCACCCACTGTGCCTCGGGATCGCTGGCGAATGGTTCGCTGTTAGTATCGATATGAGCGCGGAACGTTGCCCACCCCGTCTCCTTGCGTGTCCGGTCCACCTTTTCACCCGTGATAAATTGCCGCGACATGCCATTAACTCCATCGGCGCACACAACGCAGTTTGCGGCCAGCCTGTCCTCTCCATTCACGATGACACCAGCCTCATCGCTGGTCTCCCAGTATTCGGTCACTTGAGCGCCGAACCGTATGTCAATCCCTAGTCCTTTCGCATGCTCGTAAAGGATAGACACCAGCTTGGCCCGGTTGGTCACAAACTGCTGCCCCTTGCCGGGAAGCTCATTGCGGGCAATGAACTTGTCACAATGGTCCATCATATCGGCGTGCGTCGCGTCACATCGAGTGCGGTCGATCTCGGCGACCACCTCCGAACCCCATTGTCGGATGATTCGTACTGCATTTGGACCAATGGCAATTCCATCGCCGGCTAATCCGTTAGTTGAGGTGTAGAAATGAATAGGCTGAGCAATGTTTCATACCGTCATGTTTTAACTGCGTGATCCTTTCCAACACTATCACCGAATGGCCCTTTCGATGACATTCAATGGCCGTGGTAAGGCCAGCCAGCCCCAATCCCACAACAATCACCTTAATCCCACTGGAAGGAGAGGTAGAGGATGACGGTATATCCCGAGCCATCTTGTATATCCTTGCCAATTAATGTGAGGAATGAATAGAAAGCCCTGAGACTATCGAACCGAGACAGCACGATGCAGATGTCAAAAGCGGAGGGGTTGGGGGTTTGGGTTTATACAAGGAGAAGAGCTGGTCTTTCCACGGAGAATTTTGTGGCCAGCTACCATCCACGTTCTTTTCAGTTGTGCTACCGCTCTTTTGCATACATAATGTATGGATTACGGATACAGGTGACAAGGGATATTTTACCTCTGTCAGTATGTTCAAAATGTCGACCCAATTTTGGGATGCGCACCGCATTTGCAGGTCATCCATACATGAAGTTAGTATCTGCATATGCATGTACATTTACAGTCTTTTATTACAAGCCCATAGCGTACCATATTGGGCCATTTTTTGAGACTCGGAAACTACTCCTGCCAAATGAAGATATTGTCCTCCTTAGCTTTGCTCATCCTTACAGAATGCTATCATCAAGGTCCTCAGTTTTGGTTCGATCAGACATGCAGGAGCAGATGAAAGATCGGCGACTAGAATACTATACACATGAGTTGACAGAGCCCTTCTTCTTTTTATTTAAAAAAAAAAAAAAATCAAGAAAAAAAAGAAAGAGAAATGAAATAAATGTCTTTCTATCACATAGTGGCTACAATGAATGATAGCGTCATGCTTTATAGGCAAAGTCCAACACAGGGACCACATGCAATACAAATCACCTTAGAAGACGGCATTCTCCATGATCCACCCCCTGAAGTATCCCACATCCGTGTAGACATCGGGTAAAGCCTTCCTCAGATCAGTGTCGTAGATGCTGAAACTGACCAGGCCAACGACGGTGCCGTCCTCATTGTTCACAAGCGGTCCTCCCTTGTCGCCCAGCCAGGCCGCCTTCTCGGTCGGTGGCTGATCACACACCATACGGTCCGAGATCGTATGGATGCCCTTCCACTCGGATCTGCACTTTTCCCGGGTGACCCCGACAGTAGGGAGCTCGTGGATGTTGTCCGGGAAAATTCCGATGGAGTAGTTTGTGAAACCCCAGCCGTACACGGTCAGATTGGCACCGATGCTGGTGGAGAAATCGTTGATAACAGCAAATGTGACGTCGTACGCGGGCTCACTCAGAGTCAGAATCGCTAGGTCAGAGTCCCGGGTGTCGATGTCATAGTCAGGATGCTGGGTGATGGCGGCCAGGCTTCGCATTCCATCGCTGGTGGTGCGGTTGTTGCTGCCAACATGGGCCAGCAGAGTTTCTGGGGATTGATTTTGAATGCACGAGGCTGCCGTGACGACCGAATAGGGGCTGATCAGCACGCCACCGCATCTCTGGAAGTTGCCGTCGGACCTATACAGAGCGACGGCAAATGGCGCGGCATCCGCAGGAGCCTCGGGGGCCCCGTTTATGGCATGAGTAGGGCGTGTAATGGAGAGAATGAGGCAGAGAATAAAGGAATAGACGGAGAAGGACTGGGTCATTTTGCAGTGAGATACAGGGTGTGAGAGCAACTTGCCGCTGTGTCTCTGCAGGTAAACAGTAGCGCAATCACCTTATATAGGGTGCTCAAAATCTGCTGTCGTTGTATGACGCTGCGGCTGTCAGTCAAGGATCGGGCTTTCTCGGTGCCATTGTTGGTCACTGAATGCTAGGTACCGCTTATCCACGCCTTCTGGGATCTTGACTGAAAAAGAGAAAGGTGGCTTGCATATCCCTGATCCGACTATTGCCCCCGGGAGGCAAATGAGCAGCCATAATTGGGGCGATGGCGTCTTTCAATTGAATTGCAAAATTGCAGCAATGTGAAACTAGAGTTCTGATCCCAGGATTGTATCTTACTCAAGTAAGTATGCTTTTTTCCGATGCAAATTCTATCCCTTGCTGATTCTGTCTTTCAGCTCGTTCATTTCTTCTCAGCTACACATTACAATGCTCAAAAATTAATTTCCACCGCCCACCCCTTAATTGCCTGGATTAATGTCTGCGTGCAGATCACTCCACATTCCTGCATGATTGAGTTCCAATAGGAAACACGATCCGGCGATTCCGATGCTCTGTCCCCAAGTACATGGCTACACATCTAGTGGGACTCAATGGACTGTTCGTGATGTTTTGGTATCGGATCAAGGACAGTACACTCACATTGTCGATCAGCTCCAATATTGCCTTTATAATCCTGTCCGCGATCATCCAACAAAAAAAGAAAAGAAAAGAAAAGAAAAGAAAAGAAAAGAAAAGAAAAGAAAGGGGCCCCGCAGAGCAACTGCATACTCAGACCTTGAACTACTGGGCAGTATTGAGATACGTTTCGCGAAATGCAGCCCAGCCCGACCATCGTGTGCAAGGACTCATCAACTACTGTGCGCAGATTAGGGTGACTGCTGAAAGGGCTGCTGCCAATGCACTCAGTCAATGTGTCATGACTGCAGGCTAATACTGCCAAACATGTGATGGGTTCTTGCTCAATGCGGCCGAGACCCTGTTATGCTTGCATGATCACATTCTAGACCACGATTGGCGTTATTCGATTTAAAATGGATTCTGATTATTGGAAATTACTCTATGTGACGGTTGGTATAGCAAAATTTGAAATGATATCACGCTGAACGGGGCCCAATTGCTTTTTTGTTTGTGATTTACTTTGTGGAGTTCGCCAGACAATACAGCATCCAAAGCTCTATTTCTCATATATTCCGGCAGGATTCTCATAGTCAAATAGAAATAGTATGTAGGCAGATCGCCTTTGCTTTCTCTGCATTTGCGTGTCAACCTGTTGGTCCTTCGACGAGGATATGTAGTGCTGATCAATTGCCATGGAACTGGTGATGGTTGGAGAGGACTCTAGCGTTCTCATAAGACTGCAAGGTCCGGATCCAGGCATCGTAAGAATCATCAACACGGTTTCACCCAAACTTCCGCGCCTTGTGCACGGTGCATATGAAGGGGGTGGTAACATTAAGAGAGGAATTAAGGAACCAGTTCATTAATTCAAAATGCGTCGACCTGAAAAGCTCCCAGATTTCCGCCGTACTTGGCAGCATTACGTTCCCATACTGGGGCTTTATCTCGGCCAAATTCTTCATATCCATCCGGGACTCGGCTTCATCTGGCAGGGTGGAATAACTGGGAACATGAACATTGAAGTACCCTCCAAGTCAAGTCCAGAGGAACTTGAAGACGATCGCATCGCCATTAACGTGGAGACTGGCGGCAGGCTCACCAGAACCCAAGCAGCAGCCATCATATCAGTTTTATCCAGTCTGGCAGGCTGCTCTTATCAACAGTACTCGGGTCAGCGTCATCATCAGTCCGATCAGTAATGGATTGCGTGCGGACCACTTCGACCACCACCACACCCTGAATACAGCGCTATCTATGCTGAGTGCTTTTATCTTTCTGGCAGTCTTCACTAGGAACATTGAGAACGCTGTTAGTTATGCACATACTATACGGTATGTCTCAGATGGCTGTTGATGACTATTTGTGTAACTCTCAGCAAAGGGATTCCATGGGGTGTTTTCCAGACCTTTTTAGTGTTGTACGCACCGAGCTAATGCTGGTTGTACTCCGAGGCCATCTTCTCAGTTATATCAACCTGTGGTGGGTAATAGGACAAATTTGTGGTGCTTTTGTGATCCGCGCCTTGGTCGGTACAGAATCCGAATGGGCATAACTTGTCCCCTGCGCACTGCAGTGGGCTTTTATCACCCTAGTCTTAACGGGCGTTGTATTTGCACCAGAGTCCCTGTGAGTGGAACTTCCTTTTCAACTACGCATTTTAATTCAGGTAACTAAGTAATGCACTGCAGGGTGGCTGATCCAGCAAGAAAGGCCAGAGGAGGCTTACATGTCCCTTCTGTGGCTTACAAGACCAGGCGCCGGGGCGCTAAGTGTGGATGAGATGGTGGCAATGATGAGACATACTGACAAGGTTGAAGATATCTCAGAAATAGCAACATATCCTATCGCAAATGCTTGGGAGGCGTGAACCTACGGCGAACCAATATCACTACCATGGTCTGGGTCATACAATAGGCGTGTGGCTCGACTCTCACATTCTACGCCGCATACTTCTACGAGCAGGCCGCTTTTCAAGTACGCACTGCCTTTAACCTTGTGGTAAGAATGTATTGGTTGGCAATCTGCGCTAATGTCATGTATTGGGCCCTATTGCCGTGGGTTGGGCGCCGTCGGCTCTATCTTTCCGGCGATTCTCTTTCGTCAGTCATACTAATAGCAGCTTTCTGGGTCAGCATAATGCCTGAGGCACAAACCCATTCATGGATGCTTGGGTCGTTCGTCATTGCCTTAACGTTTGTTTATCAGATGACCTTGGGGCCGGTCTGTTATATGTTAGTCGCGGAGGTTCCATCCACACGACTCCGACTCAAGACCATTATCGTCGGGCGTGTAGTATACAACATGACAAGTATAATTACAAACACGGTCACCCCTCGCATACTAAATCCAATTGCGTAGAAGTGGAAGGGAAAATCGTGCTTTTTCTTTATTGGGACCAGCATTTTGTGTCTTGTATGGTGTTATTTCGGACTTCCGGAGACTTTTGGACTCGGTTACCTTGAGATTAACATTCTGTTTGAGAAGCGCGTATAGGCAGTCAAGTTCCGCATATTCCAACGCAACTTGGCCAGATCCGGATACAATGATATAATCAGCAATGAGCGAAGAGGTAGTGCGTGGCAAAGGTATAAAATTAATTTTACCCTCCACCCTCATGTTCGGGTGCCCAACCATAATGCTGGGATCGGGACAGTAGCTAGCTGAAGCGCTTGTGATAAGATCACGGTCTATAAAGCGACGGCGCGCAGTGTCCGCTTTGCACACTATGTAGGGCTGGAAATTCTGGTGAATAAGTGATAGCCAATCTACTCGTACAGGGAAGTTTGCTGATGAGTTGGCTTTCTCTGACGTGTCATAACAAGTCTCATTCCCCGAGGCAGCAGCATGCAGTGGGAACCGAGGGACACCATCTATTATCACCGCTAGCGGGTGCGCACTACTACATATAGGTCTGTTCTCCATTTCATGTCTGAACTAATTCACTCCACACAATTTAGAAGCTCCCCTTTAACCAAAACTTCTTCTCCATATGTCGTCCTATCCCACGTCCGCTGAGGCAACGGGCACCACGAATGTGGGTAATAATAAACCCATCATTGAGCCTGCAAGCGCGAGCTGGTTTACTGATTACATCATGGATGTGAAACTTGAGTCAAAAGATGGCACCGACATCCCACTTTACAATGAGAAGCTGATGACTCACGTCACCCAGATCACTAATGGCGGGCCCTATGTCATTGATCGTGTGCACAGCGACAGGTCTGAACATTTCAATCAAGCCAAAGAGGACTATTGATTATTTTACGTCCATCTGAACCACGCTGAGATGGAAATTGCGATTGGAGGGGAAACGCGGGTCCGGACAAACTCAAAGCCCCGTTGGTACAACATCTCCAGAGAAGAAAACCATGTCGTTGAAAGATGGCAAGGTGAATACACAGCGTATCAGTTCTCCTACAATGTGGAAGAACGGCGGGGAACATAATCGGTTCGTGGCAGTCCGATGCCCTAAAATGGACAACCCAGCTATCGCGGTGAAAGTTAATGGGCATTATGGTGGACTCCACTGGGTGGGTCTGTTCGTTAAATCGAGGACAGATGACACCAACCAATTCATTGCCGTGAGAACCACCCATCGCTTGCTTCCAGATTACGCCGAGCGCACCAAAAAATACGAAGGCCATGAAAAGTGGTATCATCCCGATCTCGCCGTTGACTTGGTGGATCGCACCCTTACTCTCTTCCCTAAGCAACTGTATGGGACCAAGGGCAATCTGCCTGATTTGTCCGATAAGTTTGTCACAACAGATCCAGAAAATGACATTGGTGCATGGCACCTGAATCTCGGCGGTATTCATCCCAGGTATAAGTACGTGTGGCAAGCGGCAGGAAAGACCATTCTCAGAGTCCAACACCCCGGGAAATTTCCTCCCTGGGTCCCCGAAGAACCACTTCCTAATCTTATTCCCGCCCCCGGTGCCATTGATTATATCTCGGGAATTAAGCTTAGAGAAGAGTCAGTTACACCAAAGGGTGGAGGCTGGACTGTACTTCTTACCATTTTGGGAGGTGTGACGCATCTTGACCGGCGTGTTCACCGGTGATCTCGCCGGCATCGTTGACGGAGTCATAAAGGTCGGAGGTGTGTTTGACGAAAAAAGATGCAAGAGGAAGCAGATTTCAATGGCTTCGTTACTGCGGCAGGCAAAGCGTTTGATGCGTATAAGAAGATCAAGGGCAGTGCGAAGGAATGCGCTGCGGTGGAGATTGAGGAGGTTGAAGAGGTCGAGAAGCCCAATACGGCCGATATCCCTACTATTGCCGAGAAAATCAGAAATGGGACGATCGCGAACCGTGATTTTGGTTCCTTTGTGCAAGATCCCTACCCAGAGCCTCCAGACGAATTTCTTCTAGACTTCATCCGTGACGACCCCGACAGTGCCCGCTGGGCCGGTGCCGGTCATGATCGAGAGACTTGTCATTGTTTGATATGCAGGATGTACTTACGCATATACTACTGATCGTCCAGAGTCTTGCCATCGACAGAAATTCATGATGATTGGGCAAGTCGATACGCTTGAAGATTTCGTTTCCAGACCTTAACACCAAGGCACAAACATGCAAAAGCTATTTACATAATGTCATACTTGTTATAAACTTATACTATCCAAGAGTCTCTGCTGAATTAAATAAGTGTAATCATCCGCTGGATCTTTGTAACTGGTCTGATAATCAAGATCCACAGCCAACACATCTATACTGTCCCCGGATTCCGAGCCATACATCCCATGGAGTTCACCCGCCGCGTCTCGAAGCAGTGTCCCACTCTATTTTCCTATTTTCTAGCCTTCCTAACAGGCAGACATGGGAATTCTGGCTCCATCAAATCTATCTTGGAGTTGGGTTTGAAGGATGTATTGTTATCATATTCAGGGGAAGCTTATGGATAATTCACAAGTAGCAGTGCCACAGCTGGCATAGGCTTCTCTCAGATGACGCGTGGTCAAAAGTGTCTGCTGACCGTACGGGAAAAATAAGGGAAAGTAAGAGAAATCTCAAAGTATGATGATCAGCTCAGCACCAAAACGAGCGATAACGAGAAAGTTGAGTTTTCAGAGCTGTGCATATAAAGAAAGGGAGATAAAGATGGGATGGGCGAAAGGCACCAGGAAATTCTTATTCCTTGTTTGCGACAACTGTTGCAACGGCAATTGGCACTCTGTTCCTAGAGCTTTGCTGTTGGTCTCGCTTCACTCTATAAACATAGTTATTCCCTAATCAAATGGCTAGGCTGTAGGTATAACTTACTCGATGGATTTCCCGCCCCTCGTTAGAAGCCTGAAGTTCTTGAAGTGGGTTCTCAATGCTTTGTTCCGAAACAAGGACGCTTAGAAGCCCTGGGTCGTTAGGTGCCGATGATAGCTGAACAGCTTGAGCAAGTCCACGTAGGGGCCTACAACGTCCCTATCGGTCAGAAAAGCCAGTGGGCGCTACTTTAGATACAGGTAGTTCTGCTGGGATGTATTCTCGCTATGCGTGAACCTCCCACGGATGCCGGATGTTTCCTGTTCCATTCAGGGGAGCATTTTCGTTAAGCTGATATGCCCACTAGTCGATGGCCGCCGTGGAAGCAGGTGCCGTCTGGGGTCAACGAAAGGCGGCGGGCCTTTTTTTCTCTGGCTGCGAACGAATATCAGGTGGTATGCAGGATTCCCGCAGAAATTCACGTCCTTTGCGTGCAATATGCCACATATTAGCTTCAATTCTCGCAGCAACGATTTAAGACACACTGAAAGAAGCGGAAGATGTCAGTCTCAAAGCGCGCAAAACCTGATCCCCCTGGATGGACAGATATGTTTCAGAAAAGCCTGATGGTCCTTCGCTTGAGCTCATGGAGAGGGGGACCATGTGCTGGTCTTTATCCATGGCTTAGCGTATGATAGAACCCTCATGGTCTGATCAAGCTTCATTATCTGGGAAGTATAGCTCTGCCCTGGTTGACCTCCCTGGCTATGGGGTCTGTAAGGCGCCCAAAGTAGAGTACAGCCTAGAGCTTCTTGCTCACAGTGCCTACGCAGTCCTACGAAAGAAGGAATAAAGAAACAAGTTATAACGGACACAGCATGGGACGCGGGTTACTGCGAATGGCAAAAACTGGCCCTATATTCAGGTCCTATTCTGAGTCACATCAAGCGCTCTATGAGTTATGACTCGGCAAACTTCGATTTTGCCCTGAGTTTGGAGCCATATTGGTGTAACAGGAAGATACCAATGATGCCGAGCGTGCTTAACCCACCCAATAGACTTATCCCACGTCCAATGCCAAGATTATCGAACATAGGCCGTGCGTATAGGATCGAACCACACGCCATAGCAGATCGGAAGAAATCGTTGGCTGCAAAAAGAGACGCGGCGTACATCGGATACGACATGGGAACATACACAAAGACGCACTGCAGCACAATGAACGCCGATCCCGCGTAGATAGTAATACCAATCGTGGGAACAATCCAGTGAATGTCTTTGTTTGCGGTCCAACCGAACAAAAATAAGCCGATAGGAGGTCCGAAGCAGCCGAACAACGCCGGTACAAGACGAGTCTCTTGCGCCATCGGCCGACCGTTTTCAATGCGGGGGATGAGGTAGTACCAGAGATACGCAAAATAGGAGGCGATGCCGAGCAAACACGCCACAAGAATGCACAGAAACACCAGCCCAATTGTGCCGAGGGTGAATCCATAAATGGGTGGATATACCAACGGAAAAACCTCAAAGAACTGCTCCAACAGATTAGCCATGCGCCCAAGACATCTTCACTCTCACGAGGTGCGACCTACGGAATAATAGATACCATAGACGATTGCCGTATACAGCTGGACAAACAGCACTGCCGGATCCTTGACGGAAATTTGCAAAGGTTTGATGATTGCTTCCACAGCGATAGCCATAGGTTTGAGTCGCCTCTGTTCAATCTCAGACTGCGACATCAGGTTCTGAGTGCCGAGTGATTTGCGCAAGCGCTTTGCACGCTTGTGTAGAAGAGTCGGAGCTGACGTCTCCGGAAGAAAGACTACCATGATGGCGAATACCGGCCCAGCACCCCAAAGTATCTCCCACAGAGACCATCGCCAGCCCATCTTCTCTACGGCAAAGCCGGAAATGAGCGGGCCGAGAGCAGGGCCACAATATGCGGCTGTCACCCATACACTGAGTGCGAAGGGGAGATAGAGGTGTGAGTACAAGTCTTGCATTGTAGCTCCACCGGTAGCCAGGCAAGGGCTGCCGAAGAATCCTTGCAGGAACCGAAGAACAAGAAGTCCGGCGAAGTTGTCCACCATTGGAAGAGGAATAGAGATGATCACAAAGAGGAACATAGTGATGCAATAGACGGGTGATCGCCCGATGGAAGGAATTTCCGAAAGGGGCGAGAACACAAGAGGACCGACTCCATATCCCAGCACATATAAGGACAACCCAAGAGACGCAGCAGTCATCGAAACCCCGAATACAGTTGTTACCTCCTCCTCCGATGATGTATAGATCGCTGATCCGGCATAGACGATAAATGTGTAGGTGAAAATAATAAAAGCAACCAAGGATTTCTTGGTCTGTGGCCAGTTTTGAGGGTTTTCGGAATCGTCTGATGTGTACCAGTCAATGACAATCAGGCCGTCCTCAGTTTCCAAAGGCACAAAGGTGACATTTCTTTTCTCTTCTGTCCGCTCCTCGTCGACTGCGGATCTCTCAATATCATCTGTGGTTGTATCTCTTACGATGCTTCTACCATCAGAGGAAGAGAGTGTGCTGGAATTGAACGTCTGTGGCTCGGATTTCCTGGCTTCCGATAGAGCCAATTCGTAGTTTACCGGGATAATAAAATCATGCTCTTCCTCGGGGTATCGCAACAGTCGGCTCCCTGTTGCCCAGCGAAGAAACTGCCCGGCAGGGGCGTCGCGGACAAGTCTTAGCATCGACTCCATATTTCTCTCGGTGAGAATCCCAAAATGCCAACGTACAGCTGCCAGGTGGATATATGAGGGCCAGCCTTGGGCTGATAACTTAATAATATTTCGGTTGTAAGAACGAAGATCCTTGAAGGACACTCCATGTTCTCTCCAATATATAGGAGCCAGCAAAGAGTGAATTATCAGCGACGGATTTCTAATCATCAAGCTTGAGTCTATCCTTCGGACTTAAGCCGTTATGCCCTCCGCGAGCATTCCATGGCTCAATATTTTGCCCTCGGTGCAAACAATTGCTTAAAAATCAGGATATCGTTAATCACTACTTTCATTTTCAGAATTTGGCGATCGGTAATGGTTCACTAATACTTCTGCTTACGTGCCTTGGAGGAAGGTAATGGAATCCTTGGAAGCCTAGGGATTTATTAGGCCTGCAACTAGACTATATACCATATCTAGATTATATAGTACAGCTATCCTTCCACCTGAGTACTTCAATATGGTGCTGTAGGCCGAACCAGGAATTGTTCTGCAGACAGATTAACAGTGTTTGCTGACAAGTCCGCGTTTGGCACTGTCTAAGGTACCTTCAGATGAGATTTCATTACTATGTAAAGGAAGGCAAAGGATAGGCGTTAAAGTATACACTAGTGCGTTATTAGGTTTGCGCTAATGCAAGTTACTGACAGGACCAGAGTCATAACCCAAGGACCACATCATTAAGAAAGCTTTGCGGAGTAGTGGCTGTCAGACAACATCCCATCGAATTCGGTTATACGTCAGATTGCCTCAGGTCTAAGAGTAAGCCAGATAAGCCAATTCTATCACCACCTGAGTCCTCAAGGAAGATTGGTTGTTTCGCTTACAGTAGTGCGCCTTATTAGATCCGCTTTCATTCCCACTCCGTGTCCGTACAAGATTACGGACCAGACCACAAGATTTAAGAAGTCGCCCTCTTTTCATTATTAATTTTTTTTTTTTTTTTTTAATACCCCTTTTTTTAGAAAAAAAAAAATATTTGATAAGCAGCAGGTAGAACTTGAAGGCCAGGTGGTATCATCCAGAAAATAAAGAAACTTGTCGTAAATAGGATTAGAGAGTACAACCAAGGAAATATTAGGACATGCGACCTAAACGACACAATCGAATGAGTGACACAACCCAATTGCTTTTTGAAGATAGGGCAAACATACTCCGACCAATCTTATACGGCCATTCGTTAAGCATGCGCGACAAAAGTCCATATTGACAACCACATGCCGTCGTCAAGTCACAGATTCTAAGTCCTCCTCAATCTCATGAACGCGCGGATGAGGTCCATAATTAGCTGCCGGATAGTCCTGGAAGTAAAGAGCGGGTTCGCCACGTTTTCTGCGCCAGTAGTTTGTCGATTCAAGCAAGCTACGACTGCCACGAACTACCCAAGGCCACTTCTGTGCAAACGCTTCAGTCACTTCCCAACCTTGCGGATCCCACGGGTCGCCCCATACGATCACACCACCGTGCCCGCTGCTCACGGATTGGAAACCTCGCATATCTCGACAGAGCTGCCCCGCGTCATACGTAGTCTCATTTTGAAGTAACAGATTGTCACGAAGTTCCTCTACTGGCAAGAGGTCAATCCACGGATGATGGGGAACACTGCGCTGAAGAGCAGTGGGCCATAGACTCGCTGGCAAGGTGTTGAAGAATGGTCCATCAATATTTAGTGATGTGAATGAGGATCGAGCGCTAGGCCCCATGCGCTGCGATGTATACCCAAGAATCTGTGCATTAGCCACCAGTGACCGTGTAGTATTGAATTGGACTACACTTAGGAGCGGCTCTGTATCGAGACACCCCTGTAGGTAGCGCTGTGATATCCATGATGAGAACTGGTTAATAAACTGCCGTGTTTCCTCCGAGTCAGGTCTGCAAGCCGTAAAGGAGCATATGCTGCCTGGTAATGGAAATTGACTGCTCTGTGAAAGTTGGTTCTGATTAAGCACAGCGAGCTGCGAATTGGCAGTATTGATTGCGCTTGGCGCAGGATAAGGTAGAAATCTGGATTTCTTCCGCTGCCCTTTTGGCCGCATATTATTGCTATATGTTAGTGATGCTGACTTCTCATGGTCAATAGAGTGGGGGATGACCAACGGCTAGCCCTCTGATTGATTCGATCTTGCAGTCTTTTCCTCTCCTTAGGATCGGTTATGCCAGTCCAATCATCTCTATCCCCAGCATGCAGCTGCTGGGGCATGAGCTGCAGTGGGATACGCTGAGCTGACATGGTCAATAAAGAGGCTGATCATTTTCTTTTATGAATGTGAATGGCACTTCTCTGGATTGCTGCTGGTGGGGAAAGCATACCGAAATGCCGCCCCATAAATATTAGTAATACATACCTGTATGACGTCCTACATAGACTGGTCGTTGATTGGGTTTGGATGTATCCGCAAGGGGTTCAATCCAACCCATGCGGATTATAGGTTAATCCACTAGCTATCTAACCCGCCCTCATATTCATATTCATGTGGGTTGGATTATGGATAATGGATATATCCATACTATCTAGTTAGGTGACCTCTAGTATTCAGGTTACTACCTATTTTTCTAGTATTCTAGCTACACCACTAAGATATCCATATATTTTGTTTAATAATATAATAATTTACTATGTAAAAATTATATATTACCTATCATATAAGGTAAAATAGCCTTATATAGGGGAGTAGTGGCACTCCCTAAGGTTAAGATGAAAAGTGTGCGGAGATATAGATATCCTACCACTACTATCCTAACCATCATTATCTAAAATGTAAAATCAACTATAACTCTAACTTTTCTTAGTGAATCTAATACTTTATCTTATATATAGATAGATATGACTATTCTCTATCTATAAATATGAGAATATATCCATATCTAGGCCTAGATATGGTTAGATAAGCTTATCAGTCCCTTAAGGCCTTAGATCATGTGCATCATGTGCACCCAATGGGTTATCCATATCCATGTAGATCAGATGTCATCCATATCCATGCGGATTGGGTCAGGGTCAACCCCTATCCAACCCAAAGTCGGATTGGGCGAGTTGGATATGTATTTGGGAATTGGGTCAGCCAGTCTAGTCCTACATCGTCACCTCGGTTCATTATGCGAAAAGGCGGAAGAAGCTTCTACGGCCACTTGCAACTATATTGCTTCTGAGAGTACTTCAGAGTGAATTGTCCGATGTTCCAAATCCTTCATTATCTACCATGTGCATAGTATAGTATTCTTGCCTCAACTCACCCTATTAATTTAAGTTCCAGCTGAAGATAGTACGATATGGACATAGTATGTTGATTACTATCCTAATTCAAGGTTTTAATAGGATTTTACCAGCGTAATGTAGATTAGAGGTCTTATTTTTATAGTACGGGCCTAGATTAGCCTAATAAAATCTTCGGATTGTGGCTGAAGTCCTTACAGGACCACACTTGGCGACTAAATATCCACATGCTGAGATTTATCGGGAGACACAATATTTGGGATAATCTCATGAAAACACGTCGCTGCCTTTATGTCGGTGCCCACACAGTCTCATTTAGCGCCTTGTTGCACGAGATCTATATCCCAGTTTTGATCTGCACGGTGAAGGTCCTCCATCCTGTGAGAATGGAAGAACCTCTTAAGGTCTGTAGGCTGAACATTTGGGTAACGATCATTGTCCAACGCATCACCTAAGTGGGCTTCGGGTTGAATGCACCAGTACGCAAAACATCTGCAAGATAGGATGAGTATAAATCCAAAAAGCAAGGCTTCTTTCAGATACACACTTTGGTGCCCAGCGCATAACGTCTCCTGGGTTGTTGTTAAACAGCTCCTGCACCTCTTTATATAGCTCTTTGACTGATCCTAATGCCACAAGATGAACAGGGGCATGATACACCTCATTAAAGATCTCCTTGATCTCCAGCATGTTTTTTCGGTCGCCGCGAACTGTACTTGTCAGCATACGCATGATATAATTGACTGCCACTGGCTAGTGAGGTGCTAAAACTCACAGCGTAAGACTCCAACTGCACTTTTATCTAGTGCTACAGCCGCTGTGTAAGCAGCTGCTGTTTCGTAGGTTGTTAAGTCCCATTTCTCCTCGCCCGTACCCCAGAAAGAGAGGGACTGGGTATTGCGATCCCAACATCCAAAAAACTCACTCCAGAATGTTTCCATTAGGCCACCGGTCAGGATGTGGACGCCTGCAACATTCTTTGAAGCGAGGTAGTCCCTGATGATTCGAGCCGACTCCTTTGGAAACAGAGCACCTGCGGGAATCTTGGTGTAATCCACAGCAAAGTCACTGGCAATATATCGAGAGACGCCTGCCTGTTTACAAGCATCTACCAGCAACTTCTGTCCCCGCACCATCACTTCTGGGCTGCCAAAGTAGCAGCAGATGACCACGTCGGCCCCTCGCACAAATTCAAGCACAGCAGACGCATCATCAAATTCACCTTTGATGACCTCAACATTTGTCTCCGAAATTAGGCATTCCGGGAGCTTCTCTGGGCTCCGACAAAAGCCCCGAATAGAAACATCCGGATATGTCTGCAGCACGCTGGCTACGCATCGGGCAAATTTGCCAGTGAGCCCTGCGATAGCTACTGTCGTCGTCATTATCTGTGATGTTCCTGAAAACTCACGGAGGGCAGTAGAAAAAGGGAGATTGGGAATAAAACAGGAAATGGAACGTAGGTCATTGACGGCTCACGACTCCGAATCCTTATGTTCTTGGGCTTTGTTAGGTCTGCACCACACGACCGAATAGTGTAATCGCACAAAATGTAAATCTCGCGCCAGGAACTTTTGTATTTGTCATGGATCGTTTGCTAATAAATCAGGGGTCGGAATAAGCGGATATAAGCCTGCTCTCAGCAGGTCCGAAGCATGGAGCAGTGTGGATCTTGGGTAGGGATTGCGGGTGCTGATGCGTCCGTCGTCCATCTTTCTAGACAATTAAAACTCTCTCTTGCTTACTGCAGTATTTGCTATCACCGAAAGCAATGTATTTCACATTTGTCCCCTCCTTCAACAAAATTTTACTCCAGTTTGACTGTCCGCCAGTCACTGCTCTATAGAGGTTCAGACAGAAGTGCTAATTTCCCTGCTTCCCCCAAACCCCGTCCTTCCTCCTACCTTCCCAACCCTTCTTTATCATTTGAAAGTAGAAAATAAGCCTGAGAAATTTTGGGTGTCATTTACTGGCTAACATAAGAAGGCCTCGTTCTCTGGCGTGGACTAATGCCCGTTGTCGCGGCTACTAAGCATTCCCTTGCGGCGAGACGACCCTCTTATCAATGAAGTTCGGCTCACCAAATGCCTGCTTAACCCCCTCCTGTTCGATCACCCGAAGGTACCATTCCACAGTTAAAGGATACTTGGAACGCATTTCCGCATCGACAACTTGACCAAAGCCCCAGTACATCGCCGCCGCGACGGAAAGATCAGCCAAGCTGATATGTCCAGATGCTAGATATTTGTGATCCTGAAGACGTCCCTCCAGAATACCGAGTGAGATTTCCAGCCGCTGAAGTGAAGTTGCTTCGAGACGTTCGTCGAACGGAGCCATGCCGTAGCGCCAGAGCACCATATTCTGCAAGGGCTCGAATAGCTCGTGGTCAGCGAATCCGGTCCATTGACGAATCTGGGCACGCTCATCTATGGAGGAGCCCAGCAGCTGTACGCTCGCGGGTCCACTTTCGGCGGCATACTGCGCAATGGCGTCGGACTCGAAGAGCTTGATACCGGTCACACTCCTAAAGGTTGGAACCTTGCCTAGAGGAAAGTCGCGTAGAAAGTCGGGTGATTTATTGGTTTTGGTCATCACGAAATCCGGCGCAATATCTACCGTACGTCCGTTCAGGGCCGCGGCCGCTTGGACCTATCCATCCCGTTCAGGTCAATCGCCTCAGGGAAGAAGTGCAAGAGAAGTAGCGAAATACCTTCATAACCCGAGGATTGAACGGGTACGTAAAAATAGTCCCAATGGAAGCCATATTGACAGTTCAGATAATGTTATAAACCCGATAAGAAAATGAGGACCCAAGTTGCTCCTTCGCCGTTTTCCTTTAGAATCGACTTCGTAATATGTGTACGTTGTAAACTTCCGGGTTCTGGAGCTGCTTTAATGATGTCTTGGTCAGTGTCCTGTATGAGCTCTGATTTATAATCTGCTCCATCAGTCAAGAGCCATCCCCATAATTGTGTATGTGGAATAATCCAATTGATTGACACCTTCTGTAGAATCAAAGGTCCAGGATGGGATCGCCACTGAAAGATTCTATCAGAGAACAGACACCACATGTTTGCCAGTTTTAAACTCAATCTTGATTTGGTTGTCAGTAACCTGCATTAGCGCCAAGTCAAGACTCTTGTTCGTCATACGCCCCTTTCCAGGCTCTAATCTTGGTTCGGTTGTCAGTAACTTGCATTAGCGCCGGGTCAGTAGCCTGCATTAGCGCCCGGCAAGACCTGTGGTTTGTCATTCCGATTTCCAAACTCTAGGCTTGGTTTGCTTGTCAGTAACTTGCATTAGCTCCAAAATTAGAGTTTGATCCTCACAGCGTAAAATTGTGGTTCGAGTTACGACGATGTAAAAGCGTCTTCAAACCTAGTCTATACCCTGTATTGCCAGCTACCTGTATTGTCCAAATTGACTTTTGCCTACTGTCTTTGTCGGTCGAACCCTTTTTTGTCCTTCCCGCCATCCTCTCCGAGATATCTTTAGTTTGGTCTTGCTTAATTACGAGGACGGTCCAATCTCTAGAATATTGTTGTGTCTGTGTTTTCTCTTGTTGATAGAACTTCATTGCCGAGCTACTGCTAAAGGTAGTAATGACCAGTTATATCACAATCTAAAGGGTGACAATCACTTTCTTCGCTGAAACACCCTTTTTCTGCACATCGAGGGCATGTTGGATGTCCATGATTCCGTTACCAACTAGGTACGGATCAGGCTTAGCCTGGAACCTCCCGCCGGCCAACGCTTTAGGCAAAAACTCGCCCCAAATCCATTCCCCAATAAACTTGTGTGGGTCTTGAATGATTGAATAGGCGACCACTGTAGATTCGTCCATGTCAGTCATTACTCCGTGCCATTTACCACAGATTTGAAGCAAAACCAGATGTCGTAATGTTTGGAGAAGATTTGACTGACCGTATTTCGGAGCGAATCGTGGAGTCTGCTGCTCGCAAGGCAGGACGCTGGCAGTATTCACCGGCCTGTCCACTCGGTCGGCAAGCGCAGAAATAGCTGCAAAGCTTGTTTTTTCCCCGATTGCATCGAAAACTCCCACAAACTCCGTGTTTGTGATAGCTTTGGCAATTTCGTCGACCACGGTTGGAGATCTATAGTCAAACACGGCGTCGGCGCCCAAGGACTTAACGAATTCATGGTTGGCCACGGATGCAGTGGAGATAACATTCAAGCCTGAGGCGACTGCAAGCTGGATGGCCGTGGCACCAACAGAGGATGCACCGCCCCAGATTAGAATGGTTTGACCAGTCTTCTTGGCTTCGTTTACAGAGGGCAGAGGGAGACTCAGGTAATCCTTCCGATATAGTCCCGCGCAAGCAGTAGAAACTGCCAGCGGGAGAACAACTGCCCGTTTGAGCTCGAGCGAATCAGGAATTTCCGCCACGAGCGCCTCTGTAACGACTGTGTACAGTTGGAATGCTGAGTTGGCCGGATCCTGGGTCATGAGGCCATTGCAGTGGCTGAGAAAGAGTTAGCTGGGCCTCAGTTGGCTGAAGTATGCTGTAGCGCGCGGCACTCACGCAATAACTCGCTGGCCCTTTCTAAACCTTGTCACTCCGCTGCCCACCTCCTCGACAACCCCTGCAGCATCTTGTCCTAAGATAAACGGATAGGTATTAAGATACCTACCGTGGGATCTGGCACCAGGAGAATCAGAAATGGAACAGAGAGTTGACTATGAAAGAGACATACTGGATTTTCCAGTCAACAGGATTCTAATCAGAGCTGGTCAGCGAGAAGCAGAAAAGAATGTATAGTGCTGCCTTACTACGGCCACGACTTCATTCCTGATGAGCACCTGTCCCTCACCGGGCTGCGGCTTTGGTCCGTTCTCGACGACGAATGGGTATGCCGCAGGCCCAGTGAGCCAACCAGATTGATTTATTTCCATTTTTATATATTGTCGGAGTCCTCCCAACGCCGTCGGTGAATGTGACTGCACAAGGGTGAGAAGAAACTAAATTTATGTATGTCAGTACAATTTAAGAGGTAAAGAAAGTAAGGGGAGTGACGACTTAAGCAGGGGTATTTATAACAAGTTAACTGCGTAGTGGATGCTTGCTTTGTCATGAACAGATTAATCAGGGCGGCTAAGGTTCACTCCTGGCTACCTACCTTTACAACCTCCTGCCCTACCTGATTATTCACACTTTCCACGGAGCGCGTGTCCGTAATGGAGCTGCAGCATAGTTCCACTGAACCATAGTGTTGCACTCATTCCGACACACGGATGATATCACCATAGGCGACATTAGGTATTCGCCTTGAGATTTCGATTTGTAATCCAAAGTAAAATTTGTTAGATAACCGGTGAGAATATTCAGAAAGATGAATCTAACACATAAATATGGATTGCGACCCCAGCAGGTTTCTATTCTCGTAGTTTTTATTCTATTTTCAAGGTCTCATTTGTGCTCACCTATCCGAAATGCCTTCTATTCAAGATTCAACTATCCTTATTATTGGTGGTAGCTCTGGAATAGGCTATGGGGTTGCGGAGAAGTGTCTTACAGAGGGAGCCAGAGTTCACATTGCTTCCTCGAACGAGTCCCGTGTTCAGTCAAGCACCAAGTCACTGAGGGAGAAGATCAGCAATGCTCCAATTTTCGGTCATGTCTGTGACCTTTCCGGCGCTGATGTCGAGGAGAATCTTGAGCAGCTACTTAGCACCGTTGCCCCGATCGACCACATTGTTTTCACCGCTGGTGATAGCCTTGCTGTCATGCCATTGGGCAGCATTAATCTGGATCTGATACAGCGAGCTGGGCATATCCGTTTCGCCGTGCCTCTGTTGATGGCGAAAGTCGCGCCACGATTCCTGAAACCTGGTTATCAATCCTCTATAACTTTGACCACGGGAGCTGGCTCCCAGAAGCCATCCCCCGGCTGGTCATTGGTTGCCGGCTATCTGACTGGCTTGCATGGACTAACCCGCAACCTGGCCTTGGACCTCAAACCGCTCCGTGTGAACCTGGTGAGCCCTGGGGTGGTAGTGACTCCTTTGTGGGGGCAGGGCGGAGTACCGGATGAGATGAAAAATTACACCACGCTGGGTAAAGTGGGTACACCGGACGAAGTTGCAGAAGCCTACGTTTATCTGATGAAGGACACCAATGCCACTGGGAGCTGTATTAGTACCAATGCAGGATCACTTCTGCTGTAGCAGGGAAAGTGAACAGGGATATTTCTGGCTAAAAACCTGCTCCTACTGGGAGAGCTGAGCGCATTTCATACCTTCTGTGCAACAAAACTTATAGATAATTATCACATTGGCTCCCAAAAGTATTGAAAACTTAGAGTGTGCTTTATCACCTGACACCCTCATTCATAACATAATCCGTACATTGTCTCGCAAGCCTTACTCGTCTGTATTATAAATTTATTATATATAACGGCTCACCCACGCTGCCTAAGCTGCTCTCCCCCTCCCTACAACCGCCTCTTCCTATATAAGTGTACCGAAAACGAAACCCCCCCCCAAATTTACTAGATCTCTGTGTCCGTTCCCTCATTTCTTACCCACATCAGTACATTCCACTTCTTCCTTGTATCATGCATCAGAACCGCGCCGCTTGGATTGTCGCTTCAAAGGCTAAGCCTTTCCGCGTTGATACCGCCCCTATGTACAAGCCCGGTCGGGGGGAAGTATTGATTCGAAATCATGCAGTCGCCGTAGTAGGTTGCCGGAGTTGTTGAATTGTATGATGTCTGACTGACAAATGTCTTCGTCTAGAACCCCGTGGACTGAAAAATACAGTGAGCATCCTACGTGAAGATCCGCCTTGAAGAGCAAATCTAATACCTGGGTCTCTTGAGGGAGTCTGGTCGCTATCTCAATTCTTACCCATTTATATTGGGTAGAGATGCCGCAGGAATCATAGAGGATGTCGGTGAAGGAGTACTCGAATTTCACAAAGGACAACGCGTCATCGCGTAAGCACTATCAATTCGCTTCGCAGTAGCTGTGCTTACATCTTTGAACCCAGGCATTTGCATAGCCCAAAGTCAGGAAAGTATGAGCACGCCGCCTATCAATTATACTCATTAGCAATTGAGGGACTTACTGCGGGTATCCCCGCATGTATCAGCTTCGAGCAGGGCGTGGTTTTGCCTCTTGCTGTGTCTACTGCTAGTGCAGGCCTTTATCTTCCTGACTACCTTGGCCTACCATTGCCTTCCCTTAATCCAGAATCTTCAGATAAGACAATCCTGATATGGGGCGGAGCTTCATCAGTCGGTGCAACAGCCATTCAATTGGCGATTGCGTCTGGGCTGCAAGTTATTGCCACTGCGTCTTCTTCGAACTCTGCTTTTGTAAGTTCGTTGGGAGCCGAGCCCTTTGACTATAAGTCTCCAACGGTTGTCCCCGATATCTTGTCCAGACTTCAGCATGGTGAAGTAGTAGGGGCCTTTGATGCGGTTAGCACCGACCAAAGCTTCGCGCCATTGTCGATCATTATCCAGCTGCTGAAAAGGAATATACCTGTCGCAAGCGTGCACCCTTATGATAAGCCAACCGAATGGTTCCGCCCAAAGTATAGTAAGTACGGCTGTTTAAGTTTGCATTCTTTTCCCTTCTTTTGCCTTGCTGCTCGTCGGAGTTATAGCGCCATCGATTCTTGATTGACTGACTAATCAGTTTCTTCGTATGGTATTGCCTTTCCTCCCAATGAAAAAATAGGCAAAGCAGTTTGGCGAGATTATCTGCCGAAGGCATTAGCCAGTGGTCAGTTCAAACCGAAGCCTGATCCGATGGTAGTCGGTCACGGATTGGATAAGATTCAGCATGGCTTGGACATCCAGAAAGCCGGCGTTTCCGCTAGGAAAGTTGTTATTACTTTATAAGGAACCGTTCAATTTTTATTCAGGACACTCTTTCATCATCAACTTGTCCCCCGAAATCCAATACGAACATCTACTGGGTAACCAGACTGAGTTCTGTCAGCCGGGTGCATTAGCCAACGTCTATCAAGTGGTGGTAACTATCCTCATAATCTAGTATAAGGTAATTCAGCAGCAGAAATGGGCCTACCAAAAATATCATGGATGAAATAAACTACCCTTTGAATTCATCATACATATTAAAAGTCCAACTCATATGACATGCACTTTTGTCACATAGGAGGGGAGGTTCCTGAAGTGTGTACCTAGTTTGTTGTTTAACCTGCCTGTCATCTGACTGTGAACTGAATCGGTCTCAACACTGTATCATTGTGATGACCGATGACACCAACCGTTTAGTGGTGGACCTCGTATACTCGGTTGAATTACCAAATTGGGAGAGCAGGGGAAGACAGCGGTCATTGCCGCTTTCGTTTCACAAGAACAACTCCTCACCAAAAATTCTTCTGGACTCTAATGCGCATGGCCCGGATTCAGTCCCTCACAAAGAAGTCTCAAGGGAGGGAAAACGAAAGGTGCCACGGATTGTAATGTCTGCCTGGAAATCCTCCCTGCTTAGGTAGATGGCTCTGCGACGACCCCACCACAAATCGCGACATGGCTGCAAGGCCTGTAAGCGCCGCCGAGTAAAGGTAAGGGAAATTTGATATGCACTGTTCCTCAGCAACGTAACTGACCTGCAACTTTCAGTGCGATGAATCCCGGCCTGTCTGCTCCAATTGACAACAGCGACAGGAGCCCTGTGACTATGACACTCAGCTCCCATTTATTTGGGCAGATCGTACTGGCCGCTCTAAAGAGCGGGAAATAGAATCGTCAAACCCAAGCCAACTCAAAGAGCATGTTCCAACCGAGACTGCTTTCAGGTCCCTGCACCCTCTCTAGATATGAGTCAGCTCAAGCTTCTTGTCCGCTGGCAGGCTGACACATATAAAATATTTGTTCAAAGCGAGGAAACTAAACATGTCTGGCAAGCTCTTGTAGTTGAAGAAGCCTTGCACAACCCATTTCTGATGCATGGGATCTTGGCTGTATCCGCTTTGCATTTCTCCCTCACTGAGGCTGAGCGAGAGAAGACATTCTGGCTGGGTCTGGCGTTAGCGCATAATAGTGAGGTGCTTCACTTGTTTGTGAGATGACTTATAGACATTAACTCCATGAATGCTAAGGTAATGGTGGGCTTTGCTGGACTAGTGGTTGCCTTTACCTTTAGCTTAGCACTTACTGGACTCTTGGAAGCTGACAAGCCTAGCCTAGATGCTCTCAACAATATCTTTATCTTATGCCGCGGTGTCCAGGAAATCACTAACACTGCTTTCTCCCAACTGCTTAAGGGCACATTTGCGCCGCTTTTTGATGCGTGTATACTGCAGGCTGCTGTTCCTAGGAATGTGAAACAAGCCCTTGAGTACCTTACAAACCTCAATGCGGAGCGCAGTGTTGAGAGTGGCCATGAGGCAGCTACTTATATGCCTGCCATTGAGGCTCTGCGGGACCTTTCAGTGTACACTTACGCGCAACCAGCCTCCCTGACCTGTCAAGTATATGGTAGATCTCTTCGAGCACGCATTTACCCCAGGATCCAATACACCAGTTTCCTCTGGAAATGTGAAGAAATGCGCAGTAATACACATGGACTACCAATGCGAACGGCCGTTTCATCTGCACGTGGTCTGAGTACGCAGGGGTTGCTTTGATGGCCCAACCAACGCACATTAGGTGGCCGGTAGAAGAGGTCTTTGGCGACGATGTTATCGAATACAACACAGCTCAAGCCCTTGAAATTTCGGAACGACAGAGGAAATGACCCGAGAAATAATATATTGGTACGATTATTGATGACGGAAAATGCCATGTCATGACGCCAACACTATATGGTGGATGTGACGCGCAGAACTGCGGACCATTGATCACCAATCAATCCTTGGAACCTTATTCTTATGCGAGAGGTACAATTAGGAATTGCGCCAGGGCCACTTCATTTCAGCTGCCTGGTCACATAACAATTCCTATTCCCCCGTTTGGCAATGGTGGATTGTGTACAACGTCCACATCTACCACGCGGGGATAGTCCAGATTGTAAGTAATGGATGGACTAGTCGGTGCCCAGACACTCGGCATGGCCTGCACCGAGGGGATTTTTCTCCCGGGCTGCGAACGAACTCAAATGTGATTATGGGCTCTGTGTACGGTGCATTGAATTCAGAACTACAACGAAGAGCGCAGAACAGTAGCTGTCATTCAACAAACCGCCAGCGAAGTCCTCTACGTGATGAGCTACTACGACCAGAAGCTCTTTGCCACACATTTAGGAAAGCTGCATTGCCTGTAACCGCGACTAGAGCAGATACTGACCTGTATACTGGTCTGCGACAATCAACGATCCCATACCATTCTCAAATTACTCGACTACAACGATCGTGCAGGTTCCTTAAACGCCATTCATGTCACCGTTCGGGGCTCGACCAAGACCACTGCCGCACTGATCACCATGGCAGCCCCGAATTCATCAGGCATCAACAACAGGTGGTGAGACAAGCAAAATCACGACGACGACCTTGACTGGGAGCGCGTAGACCTTCTCCGTTTCGTCCACTAATTCGGAAGGAGATCGCTATCTTGTTTGTTTCGTCTGACTGGTTTTGAAATTTCGTCTCTTCACTTTTTGTGTCTGATGCGGTAAGTTTTGCTCTCTCCTACAGACTTGACCGCAACTATGAAAGTTTGAGAGGAAAGTGTGAAGTACGCTAGCCAGGCCCTCATCCCATCTAGTCTAGGTAATAAATCCTGTACTGGCTAGAGGTTGGCTTGCATGGAGGTAAGCATCTGCATAACCTTAGCAAGGGTATTATTTCTGTGTCACTTCAGAATAGCTACAGGATCAATGAATCACTGCAACAGATCTAGATAGAAAGACAAGTAACGTTGTTATAAAATACAAAGGTATATCACAGCTGTTGTTGAGGGCCATATATTGCAGTTCAAAAAGGGACAAGGTTAAGGCCGGCTTTTATAGAGTTGTGCCAACAGGTCCCAATGTCAGCACTGAATCAGGCTTCACCAGATTTTTAGTAGGGTTGGCTCAGCAAGGGTTAATCACCATCTTAGTCTTTGTCCTGTAAAAGTAATCTAAAATTACTAAGAACCCGCAAGGTAACAAGATCGACACCTCCGAGGACTTCATCGGCAGTTTGCAGGATGATTTCGTACATTGTCGCAGCTTCATCGTCGCGGTTCTGCTGCCTCAGAATCCCTGTTAGT